TGGCTCTTTGTTTGAGCTCTTACCTCTACATCGCTTGAAGCCCCCACTCCAGAACCCTCCACATCAAGAGGCTCTGAAGGTTGAGAATCTTCAATTGCAGACTTTTCGTCAGAATCTTCCACTGCAATTTCTGGAACCTCTTGAGAACCTTGAGCTTTACCTTTTGAAGAATCAGGATCTGATGCTGAGGCATCGTCTGCAGGCTTAGAGATATCGTCTGAAGGCTTAGAGGTATCGTCTGAAGGCCCAGAGGTATCGTCTGCAGGCCTAGAGCAGTCATGGGATTCTGAAATCTTCTTTAGAGATCTCAAACCACTCAATATAATAGTCCTATAATCTACCGGATTCGCAATCCTTTCCAGTTTAGCACTTTTACCAGACTTTTCTGGAGACTTATCTCCTAAATTAAGATTTTTCGCTGGAGTAGGCACTTGCCCCTTTGGAGAACTGGCCGGAGTATATAACATTGGAGTTACCACAGTTCCAGAAACAGTTTCCTTCGATACAAGTTGCATTTTATTGTTTGGAAGATATTTGCCAATTGAACTTTTTTCTACTGGCTCTCTCTTCACATAGGTGATCTGGACAGTACAACCCTGTTTAGAAAGCGTTTTACTTTCTCCAACCTTTGCATCATCATTCAACTATTTCCTTTTCTTCCGGATTTTGAGGTACGGGGCACTTAATTAAAATCGTCTACAACGATTTCCCGCCCAAAAACCATCAGTTGTCCATCTTCTTCTTCCAAAGAAATCTGAGGTAGTCCCAATCATTCTCCTTAATGGCCATCAACCGGAAATATCTTCTCATGTCGGCCAAAACTCCGAATTTATTTTCCCGAAGTTTTATCCTTATCTCAGGGATTCCTCTCAATAGACTGGGTCTCCTCCTCAAATACCGCCTCAAGGCGAGTCCGCAGTTTCCTCGACAGGAAGCGTCGTCAAACACTGGCCGTATAGGCGTCGCTTTGGACCCACACTCAAATACAGGGCGATCGGGAAAATAGCATCCCTTTACTTTAAATTCCGCATCTCCAGTTTGTCTTGCTTCCACCAATTTCCTCGATGATGGAACTCTGACAACTCTTTCCTCAATATCATCAATGGACTCAGTTTCACCATCTGAAATCTCCACTTGATCAGCGCCCTCAGCTACCGCTTTAGAATTGCTCACCGATTCATAACCTTTAATTGCAGTTTTAGAATCCCCTACTCCATTGTCCTTGGTTTCAGCTTCCGAGTCTTTCCCATTCTCTAAATCTGCGTCCTGCTTTTCCGCCACCTTTGAATCGGTACCTTGTTCTGCATCTAGCCCTTCTGCCACCTTTGAATCAGTGCCTTGTTCTGAATGTAGCAGCTTCACTTCTTCAGTGTTCTTTGAATCCATTCCTTGTTCCACATCCAGCCCTTTCTCTTCATCTGCTTCAACGGATTCTTTCTTAACTTCAGCCCTATGACTTTCGTCAACTTCTACAACAGACCTTTTCTCGACTTGAGCCCTTTCACCGTCTTCAGCAAAATGCCTTTCTACAACTTGAGCCCTTTTACTTTCTTCAACGGCAATCTGCTTGGATGTCTCTTCTACCATTTGCTCGGATGATACCACAATCCCAGCATCTTCCTTAATAGAAGCTGGATCAACTCCTTTCATCAAGGTAATTCCTACAACCCTTGGCTTCTCACTCATCCTGAATTCTAAACTGCTTCCATCGCAGATCTTCAAATCCAATTTGGGCAATCGGCAAACTCTTGTTCCAGGCAGCGAGCCCTTTTCTGAACTAGCACCATGGAGGGCTTCCGTATTTTTCGTCAGAGAGTTGAGGAAAATAATTTATTTCATTTTCAAGATCTATCCACTTCCCATAATAATGGATCAACTTATCTTCATCCTGAAGATTTGCCATATACTTTTCGATGAGTTTATAGCTCGTTCTTATCATATTTTCAGAAGGAGTTTCTTCATCCAACTCCGCTTCTGCCTTTTTAATCAACTTAGAAATAGTCGTTCTTAGAACGGCTCTACTTCTTATTGGCGCTTCATTTTCTAGACTTGCTTTTGTTCTTAACTTGACGTAACTTAACGCACTATACCTCCGTTTTATCTTTTGAATCCAATTTGCAAAACTTTCTAAAAGCCTCGTTTACATAAATTATTTTGATATAATCTTACTTAAATTTGCATAGGCCTTTTTTCTTGATTCTCTTAATATCAACAAATTGAATTTACGAATTTTAAACCTTTAACTTCCAATCAAGATTGACTTCTACTAAATCCTGTAACTATAATCTTGTAGCCTTAATCCGCTCGAGGGACCAATATGTTAGCCAATCTTCTTCTGGCTGGTTCTCTGATGCTCACTCTTCTGCGTAGAGGTATAGGCAGCGCAGAGGTCTTCTTCTAAAATGAAGCGTGCTCTCCGAGCTCTAACTATTGTGAAGTCACCAGTCTCACAAAGCTCAACTTAACACACATTTTATTTCCAAGCACACTATATATACAATCAAACACACACACGTGACCAGGCACTCCTGGTCAAATATAATAAAACATTTACACAGAGTAACAATCAAAATAAACTCTAACAATGATGATGATATATTTTTATTCACAGATTAATAGGATATATATATATACTAGCTGAATGACCCGGGCAACGCCCGGTTTCCCCCTCCCCCCCCCCCCCCCCCTCCCCGTTTAAATGCTTTTATTCAAATACTATTCGTTACAATTATAAATTGGCGCCGTGGATGTCATTCTTGTGAAACGTCCCGCTCTAAACTCTGTGTCTGAGAAGCGATATTTTTATAAAAAAATAATCTGGCTTTGTGTCTTCTGCTCGAATGAATGTTTTTCTGATAGAATTTTGTTCCTGCATACTAAAAATGAACTAGCTTTACCCGTGGTCTCTGCTTTTTGGAATTTTTCCGGATATAATTTTGTATTTGATAATCAAATATGATACAGCAATTTTGTCATAATCATTTTCTGACTAAAAAAAAACAACTATTTTTGCCCAGAACCTGTCAATTTCAATTTTTCTTGGCTAAAAATGCGACAAATATTTCTTCCATATTTTTTTCTATGTCTTAAAACACGTTTTACATGTACATTAGGTCAGCTGATATTACCTCCCATCTTCACCGCTAGAGGCGCTGCTTGCGAGCGAAAGAGCAAATTTGCAACTCAAATTTACAAATAACTCGAAGAATATTCGGGATAGGGACCTGAAATATTCAATATAAGTTTTTCCAGATTCTAATATACATACTGCTAAAATTTCAGTCATATTAGTTACGTATTTTACGTATATTACGTAAAAGCATTCCATTCACAAAAGCAAACGGTGACCAAATTGATGACTCTGATACTTGTATATTTTAATAATAATAATATAGATGAGTTTTAAAAATTGTAAAAAAAATGCATCGGCCGATAATCAAACCTGTGCCGCCTGCGTGGCAGGTGAGCATTCTACCACTGAACCACCGATGCTTATAAGAAATGGCCATATTTGGGTATTTATTCCATTCACAAAAGCAAACGGTGACAGAATTGTTGATTGATGACTCTGATACTTGTATATTTTAATATATTCAAAACAAAGAGCATTTGATTTAGATTACACAACATAATTTGATATTGAAACAATTTTAAATTTATAAATCTCTAAAATATTGGAACCTATTAAGTTATCAAACCTCTCACTTACTAGAAAATGTACAAAAGGAAAATTCCATTCCTCTTGGTGCTATGAAAAGTTCATAAATTTATTTAAAAAATCCAGTGTGTGTTAAATTAATCAAAATTTGTTTTTAATTTTACAACTGAACGTTGTATATGGCTTCAATGGATGCATTTTTCTTTATTTCACAATATTATTTCATTAATTCTCCTTCATATTCTATTCTATATATACTCATGTGTGAATTTTTGCAGAAGGAGTCTGGCAGAAGAACCTATGTCTGAATACCTGGAATCTCCCATTGACTCTAATGCCGTCAAAAGTTTACAAGGAAGGTAAAACTCTCCTGAAACACCAAAATAATAATGAAATATAATGTATAAGCTGTTTGGTGTATATATCTTCATAATTAAGAATGAGATTTGTATAAATTGTTTATTAAACTTTATATGAATCTTTTTACATCATGTTGTTTAAATTCTGCCTCTTTATTGTTCTTGTTTATGATGATGATATATTTTTATTCACAGATTAATAGGATATATATATACTAGCCGAATGACCCGGGCAACGCCAGGTTTTTCCCCGTTTAAATGCTTTTATTCAAATACTATTCGTTACAATTATAAATTGGCGCCGTGGATGTCATTCTTGTGAAACGTCCCGCTCCAAACTCTTGGTCTGAGAAGCGTTATTTTTATAAAGAAATGATCTGGCTTTGTGTCTTCTGCTCGAATGAATGTTTTTTTTTTTTAGAATTTTGTTCCTGCATACTAAAAATGAACTAGCTTTACCTGTGGTCTCTGCTTTTTGGAATTTTTCTGGATATAATTTTGTATCTGATAATCATATATGATACAGCAATTTTGTCATAATCATTTTCTGACTAAAAAAAAACAACTATTTTTGCCCAGAACCTGTCAATTTCAAATTTTCTCGGCTAAAAATGCGACAAATATTTCTTCCATATTTTTTTCTATGTCTTAAAACACGTTTTACATGTACATTAGGTCAGCTGATATTACCTCCCATCTTCACCGCTAGAGGCGCTGCTTGCGAGCGAAAGAGCAAATTTGCAACTCAAATTTCCAAATAACTCGAAGAATATTCGGGATAGGGACCTGAAATATTCAATATAAGTTTTTCCAGATTCTACTATACATACTGCTAAAATTTCAGTCATATTAGTTATGTATTTTGCGTATATTACGTAAAAGCATTCCATTCACAAAAGCAAACGTTGACCGAATTGATGACTCTGATACTTGTATATTTTAATAATAATAATATAGATGAGTTTTAAATATTGTAAAAAAAATGCATCGGCCGGTGCACCCGGTGAACCCGGGCCGCCTGCGTGGCAGGCGAGCATTCTACCACTGAACATCCGATGCTTATAAGAAATGGCCATATTTGGGTATTTATTCCATTCACAAAAGCAAACGATGACAGAATTGTTGATTGATTGTTGATTCATGACTCTGATACTTGTATATTTTAATATATTCAAAACAAAGAGCATTTGATTTAGATTACACAACAAAATTTGATATTGAAACAATTTTAAATTTATAAATCTCCAAAATATTGGAACCTATTAAGTTATCAAACCTCTCACTTACTAGAAAATGTAAAAAAGGAAAATCCATTCCTCTTGGTGCTATGAAAAGTTCATAAATTTATTTTTAAAATCCTGTGTGTGTTAAATTAATCAAAAATTGTTTTTAATTTTGCGACTGAACGTTGCATATGGCTTCAATGGATGCATTTTTCTTTATTTCACAATATTATTTCATTAATTCTATGTTCTAAATTCTATATATATTTATGTGTGATGTTGTGCAGACGGAGCCTGGCAGAAGAACCTATGTCTGAAGATCTGGAATCTCCCATTGACTCTAATGCCGTCAAAAGTTTACAAGGAAGGTAAAACTCTCCTGAAACACCAAAATAATAATGAAATATAATGTATAAGCTGTTTGGTGTTTATATTTTTACTAGCCGAATGACCCGGGCAACGCCCGTGTTTTACCCGACTGTAGATGTTACAACGGTGATCCTTAGGTCGCTGGTTCAAATCCGGCTCGAGGGAGCCGGCGAGCACGTGACCTCCCTGTGCGCGCGCATCCGTGACAGAGGCGGCCGGCCGATGAGGAAAGACGGTCGTGACTATATATATTAATACATTTTGTGTAGAAATAGGATTAGTTGACTTTATAAGGTAAACTTATTCATACAGTTTGTATCCCTCGATAGCTCAGTTGGCAGAGCGGAGGACTGTAGATGTTACAACGGTGATCCTTAGGTCGCTGGTTCAAATCCGGCTCGAGGGAGTTTTTTTTTTTAATTTTTATTGGCTGCCGGCGAGCACGTGACCTCCCTGTGCGCGCGCATCCGTGACAGAGGCGGCCGGCCGATGAGGAAAGACGGTCGTGACTATTTATATTAATAATTAAGAATGAGATTTGTATAAATTGTTTATTAAACTTTATACGAATCTTTTTACATCATGTTGCTTACATTCTGCCTCTTTATTGTTCTTGTTTATGATGATGATATATATTTATTCACAGATTGATAGGATATATATATATATATTTGAAAATAGAGCAATCCATATTTAATTCATTAGATAATAAAAGGCATATATTGGATTTAATAAAATATTTATTTTGCCAATATTTCGGCTGGCTGAACGCCAACCTTTATCGAGGCATTACATCTTTGTATACACAAACTCAGCGCCACATAGTGTTACAATATCACAGTTGAAATAATTTAAAATATAAAGTAGGTGGGGGAATTTTGTGCATGAAAAAATAATCAAAAATTACAATCAGAATAAATTAAAAATCTTTAAAATATTAAAGGAAAAATAATGAGGCCTATCTTATATATTTAAAATATTTGTAAAAAGTACATAAAATATAATTCATTAATAATTCATTAAGAGATAAATGTAAAAATATATGTATCTATTAAAACATTTGAAATTATTTAAAATGATATAAACAAAAACTATGAATCTTTTTTTTTTTAAGTTTAACAATAAAATGTGTGTATTTAAAAATTCATTTCAAAATTTTTTCGAGACCGATTCATCTATAAGTAAAAGTTTTTATAAAAATGCATTAAAATGGAAGTTAAAATAATTTAGGATAAATAAATGAGGAAAATAAATTTTTAAAAATGGAAACTGTTGTATAGTTATTGTTGTATAGTTATTATTTAATTAAACATTACTCACCAGATGAAATTATATTACAAATTATTTATTACACTTTATATTTATATTTTTACATCAACACGTTGTTTATATTATACATCGTGTATTATTGTTTATGATGATGATCTATTATATATTTTAAAACACAGAATACTACATTCCCTCCTTCCTTTAGATGAAAGGAATCATGTCTTTATATCTTGATGATGGCTTGACGACTCTTCCACTCCTGGTGATCACGGGTTCCTTGGTAGTCGGCAAGGGTGGAGAAACCTCTGGTGGCAACTGGTGAAGAGCCTCGGCATCAAGTCTATCTGAAACAACTGGGTTAAATGTAGACCCTGTTCTACTTGAACTTGGTCGGTTTAAAGAAGTGTCCTTGTCTTGGTTTGAGGAATTATCATCTGGTATTTGTACATCAGAAGAGTTGAGGTGTTCAATTCTTGTCGAATCTGAACTAAGATTTTCCTGGCTCTCTTCTGGAATCAAGTCAGAAATGCCTTGATTGGTCTCTTGAGTAGGAACATGTTTCAAATGTTTAGCATTTCTATGAATTATTTTCCCATTTTTAGTGTTGACTAATTTAAAAGAATTTATTGAAGTGTTTTCAAGAATGACATGATGTTCTGATCTGAAATTTGAATCAAGTTTTCCATTATTTGGATTTGCCACATAAACTAAATTTCTAATTTCAAAATTATGAGGACTAGCTTTCCGAATTATATCATTATATGTTTTCATTTTTTCTTTGTAGACCATATTGAATTCTTTGATGTTGGATTCATCTTCTTCTGCATCATTAACAAGTGAGCTTAATTTAGTTTTGATTTCTCTTGAAAATAATAGGAATGCTGGAGTCTTTCCTGTAGATCTGTTTGGAGTAGTTCGGTAAGACATTAAAATTCTGGATAAATCTTCTTTCCAATCTTTCCCTTCTTCAGAACTTGAATTGAATTGTTTCTTTAGAAATCTATGGAATATTTCTATCTTCCCATTACTTTTTGGGTAATAGGGTGAGGCTTTGATGTGCCTGATTCCACATTCTTTTAAAAATCTTTCCATTGATGTACTTACAAACTGTAAGCCATTATCTGTTACAACTTCATGTGGATAACCATGTCTTGCAAAAATCTCCATCAATTTTTTAATAATTGTCTTGCTGGAAATGTCTTCTATTATCATTGCTTCAGGATATGAAGAATAGTAGTCGATCACTGTTAAAACATAATGATGGCCAATTGGACCAACTATGTCAATTCCAAGTTTCATCCAAGGTTTTGATGGTAACGGAACTATTTGCAATGGTTGATCATTTATCAATGGTTGATTCCTTACACAAATTGGACAGTTTCTAATCAAATTTTCAATGTCAAAGTCCATGTTTATCCAAAAATATTTTTCTCTTAACAGTTGTTTGGTTCTTGTCATTCCTTGATGTGTTTCATGTGCAATTCTCAAGACTCTCTTTATTAGTTTTGAAGATAGCAAAATTCTACTTCCTTTTAAGATAAGATTATCAAAAATTGAGAGTTCATCTTTAAACTTATAAAAACATTTGAATTCTTCATTCAAAGGATATGGCCAAACTCCCTTTTGAACCATATCTTTCAGTTTTTGAAACAAAGGATCTTGCTCTGTACAAACTTTTATCTCTTTCAAAGACAGTGCTTGAAGCTCTTCAGAAGTGATGGATAAGACTTTATGAACATAGTCCTCCAGCCATTTTTCATCACTTGTGTTAGAAAGAGGTTGTCTTGAAAATATATCTGCAATATTTTGCTTTCCTTGAATGAATTCAATTTCAAAGTCATATGGTTGTAATCTCCAACTCAATCTTTGAATTCTTGGAGGCAAAACAGCTCCATTTTTAGGATTCAGCATATAGATTAGAGGTTTGTGATCTGTTTTTAACACAAATTTCCTTCCCCAAATATAGGTGTTAAAATGTTCAATTGCCCATACACATCCCAATGTCTCTTTTTCTATTTGTGAATATCTTTTTTCAGTATCAGTTAAGGATCTGCTGGCATATGCAATGGGTCTTTTAATGCCATTTTGTTGTGTTTGTATTAATACTGCTCCAAGACCAATAGGGCTTGCATCTGTGATTAATTCAGTTGGTGAGTTCAAGTTGTAATATGCTAAGCATGGCTCTTTTGTTAGTGACTCTTTAAGATCCTGAAATGCTTTATTTGTTTTCAAATCCCAATTCCACCTAACATTTTTTCTAGTCAAATTATTTAGAGGTTCTGCCAATTTAGAAAAATTAGGTATGAATTTTCTTAAAAACCCACAAGTTCCTAAGAATGACCTTAACATCTCAATATTTTTTGGTATTGGAAAATTTAAGACTGCTTCTATTTTCCTATTATCAGGTTTAATACCTTCACTACTAACAATGTGACCTAAAATATCCAATTCTTCCATGGCAAATTTGCACTTATTCCTGTTGAGCCTAATGCCTACTTTATCAAATCTTTGTAAGACTTTTCTAAGCCTTTCTTCTAGTTCTTGTCTATCTTTGGCGTAAACAACGACATCGTCCAAGTAACAAATTACACCTTTCAAATCAAGCAAAATTGAATCCATTCCTTTCTGATATGCCTCTGGAGCACTTGATAGACCAAAAGGAACTTTACAAAATCTGTAACAACCACGGTGCGTGATGAAAGTTGTAAGGGGTCTTGATTGAGGGTCTAAGTCAACCTGCCAAAACCCTTTTTTTGCATCCAGCTTTGCAAATACTTTAGCACCTTTAAGGGCATGTAACATATTGTCAATTGTAGGAATTGGGTGTCTTTCTCTCAATATTGCTTTATTCACTTCCCGAAGGTCTATGCATAGTCTAATTTCCTCACTATCCCTTTTTGGAACAACTATTATGTTAGAAACCCATTCAGAACCTTGATGCACTTCTTCAATGATTCCATTCTCTAGCATCTTATCAAGCTCTTGATTTACTGCTTCTACCATTGCATAAGGTATACGACGGCATCTCTGGGCAATGGGCCTATAGTTGTCTTTCAATGTCACTTTATGACTATAGCCTTTTATAGTTCCAAGTCCATGGAAAAGATGTTCATGTTCTTGAACAAGAGTTTCTATATTAGTAGACATTGATTCATTTACATGATTTACCCTTTTAATTATACCTAGTTCAAAACTAGC